TGAATTCCTGCAATCGGTAGGCCCATCGCGCAAGCCGTCCCCGCGGGTCTTTCGCCGTCATCAACCACGAGAGCGGTTTGTGGTCAGTGACGACCCGGAATGCATTCGCCAGTAAGTAATTTCTCCACTTCTCTAACGCCCACACGATGGCCAAGCATTCTTTCTCCGTTGTTGAATACTTCTGCTCCGCCCCCGTCAGCACTCTGCTCGCGTACTCCACCACCCCAGCCGGTTGAGACAAAACCGCACCGATTGCCACGTTGCTTGCGTCGACCGCCACAGTGAACCTCTCACCAGGATTGGGTAGCCGTAGACATGTCGGGGCTTCTGCTATGCATGCCTTTAGCTGGTCAAAGGCTTGATCCGCTTCAGCTGTCCACACGAAGGGCACGTCCTTGCGAAGCAGCTTTAACAACGGGCTGACCTTCTCTGCGAACTGGGGCACAAACTTTGAATCATATGCCACCACACCCAAGAACGAACGGAGCTGACGCTTGGATTTTGGTTTTGTGAAGCACTTGATAGTCTCGCGTTTCTCCGGAAGTGGATGGATTTGACCATTGCCCACGATGTGACCCAAGCATACAATTGACTTTTGGCCAATCTGCGACTTTTTACGACTGAGTTTCAGACCAGCTTCATCCAGTCTCTGCAGTACTGCTCCAAGTCTGGTCACATGTTCCTGTTCCGTCTCAGAGAAGACGATGATGTCATCACCGTACACAACCACGCCTTGCAGGTTCGCGAGGACCATCAGCAACAAACGCCTGAATGTAGCCGGGGCGTTGCACAATCCAAACGGCATTCTCAAAAACTCATACTGCTGGCCATTGACACTGAAAGCCGTCTTGTGGCGATCTTCTTCTGCGATCGGCAGTTGCCAATATCCCGAGCGGAGATCAATCAGAGATATCTGCTTCGCACTGTGAAGGCTTGAGAAAATTTCTTCCATCTGAGGCATCGGGAATGCATCCTTCACCGTCACCCTGTTTAGTTCTCTGAAATCGATGCAAAATCGATAGGTTCCGTCGGCCTTCTTCGTCAATAGCACGGGTGATGAATACGGGCTGTGCGTTCGCTTGATGATTCCTTTCGATTCCATCTCGGTCACCTGCTTCTGTATCTCCACCAGGGTGTTCTGTGGAATTCGTCTGAAGATTGGCTTGCATTGTCCTCCTGGGATCAACGGTATTCGGTGTTCAACCCAATTGCAAAATCCGTAATCATCTTCCGCGTCTGTGAATAAGTGGGCATACCTGCTCAGTACGTTGCGTATTGCACGGTTCTGACAATCAGGCACGGCTTTGAGGGCACCAACCCGGTCGGTTCTCCCCTTGTTTATCTCGATCGTCTCGTTAGCCACGATCACCACATCGTTTTTCAGGTCAATTGTGACACCGAGCCGTTTCAGGATGTCGGTTCCGATGATGGTTTCGGTCGTCTCCTCCACGATGAACATGTCATGGCGGATGAGCGTTTCTCCTATCCTGATTCGTAACCGCTGGGTGCCCGTAACTTTCAAAGAATGCCCGCCGACCGTCTGCATCGTGATTGAAGATGGATTCACTGGAACCCCGTTGAACCTCTTCGTAATTGACACTGCCGCTCCTGTGTCTACTATGGCTCGGACAGACACCCCTTCTATAGTTACATGGAGGACTGGTACTCGCCACCGACTCGGCATGGATAGAGAGAAACAATGGGGCACATTGACGTTGGTGCAGAATTTCGCCACATGACCATTCTGGTTGCATCGGAAACAGCGGCGACCGTTCCGGATTACCCGTACATTGCGTTGTGAAGTGATGCTTGAAGACTCTATCGACAACAGCTGCTCCACCATTTCGGAAAGGCGATTTACTTTCTGTTCCAACTCAGCATGCTGGATGCTTCTCACTCTCACTCGCTCCGACAAATTCTGGGCGACTGTCACCAGATCCAACGCTTTGCTGTCTCCCACCAGCGACGCCAATTTCACCTGATCATGGAGTGGATTGGGCAGACTTCGGATAAACTGCTGTTTCAGTAGGCGCTCTCTTGCTTTGCCCTCTAACTCGGGGAGCCCAATCGTTAGATGTCTGTCCAGCTGCTGGATAAACACCATCAAATCCTCCTGTTCGTCCCACCTGGCTGCGTGAAATCGTTGCGGTGCTCGTTCTCTCTCCAGATCCTTCCCAAATTCTGCACACAAGGCAGCCCTCATCTCAGCGAACGAACAACCGGGTTTGGCCTTTCGAGTGAGCAAATACACCGCCTTGGCTCGTCCACTCAACCGTGTGCCCAAAGCAATTAGCAAATTTGCATCCCCCTCACACCCGTGCAAGCCGCAATTCCGTCGAAATCATCGAGCCACGCCTCCACGTCACCGGCCGCAAATTGCTCCAACCGGGTCAACTCCATCGCGATTGGTCACGGCACCAGTGTAGCGAGAACGACACGACAGGGGGGTAGACGTTTATTGCACACCGAAAATGGGCACATGAGGGTCTCGCGCGCGCCATCGAATATCGACTAGATTTCCGTCCCACCACGCAACACAGGTACGGATGTTAGAGGCGAGCCAGTCCTTTCGCCTCGGGAGCTCTGACTTGGAAGATCCGCCTTCCTGTTTTCGCCTCGATCTCCGCTTCTCTGCACCCGATTTGGGTCGGCCAGGAGTCGTTCGAGAGCTCTCGCCTTGCTTGTTCTGGGCTGTGTCAATCGGCTCGGCCTCGGTGCTGTGGGCTGCGCTAGCGGCGTATTTGTCTGATTTATTGCGCTGTCCACATGTTCCCGCTCCGTAGTTCCGGGCCCAGGCTCGTCGCTAGCCGTCTTTCGCGATCCGCTCTCAGCTAGCTCCGAAGAGCTCCCCAGAGCCATTCTTGGAAGCGGCCCCTCTACAATATGACTGTCATCGCTTGTTGGTTGTGTAGTAATTTATTTTGTTGCAGTTCTTTTTGGGTGGAGGTTTGTCGTGTGGGAGTGTTGGTCTTGTCTTGTGGGGTAGACAAGTCAAGGCTGCAGCAAGAATTCTCCTGTGCAACGACGTTATTCACACTGTTTGTAATGTGCTGCCCAGCTAATAGCGATGATCGTGCAATTTGTGCATAACTCTTTACGCCTTGCGGTACAACAGAAGATAGGCATTTTGTCGACATGCACATCAAGCGCAACCATATCGGGGAAAGCAAGCAACAGCCAATCATTTGAGAGAATGATAAAGAGAATAAATTGAGTAATGCATAATGACATAAATCTTAAATTAATGAGCATATGAAATAAGTTGCTTACAAAGGATCCAAGATAAGTTCACGAGGTCAGAAAGTATATTTTACGGATATGACACAAACACGAAAATTTTATTGAAATTACCTACAATTGGCATAAGCGACGTGAGCAAGTTTACAGAAGAGAGTACAGGTCGATATTTATATGAGAAAGAAAAGCATTAGGACAAAATTGAAAACCCAATACATGAAATAAATAGACTTAGCATGCAAGCACGCGGTTAGTAAATCGAATGCAGCGTACCTACAAACGCTGCGCTGGTTCTGCCTACGTTCTCTACAGGACCCGTCGTCGCTTCGGTAGTAGTCCCGATTGGCCTCGCTCACGGCTAACTAAGCCTGCCTGACTCAGACACTCGCGACCGCATGTGCTACAGCACCATGTGCTTAATGTCGATGGAGTACAACCCATCGTTGCTTGCCGCTTCCGCACTTGTCGTTTCTTCTCCGCATGTATGAGGACCTTCTCCAGCACTTCGGCAACTGCCTTCGTGATCAGATCGCGCCATGCACGCCGATCAACCGTTTTGGATACCATGACCTGCAAAAACATCAGGTGTTAGGCTCACTTGATCATGTCCTGGTAACGTAACCTTGGTTTCCCACATGCCGGTTCCCAATACTAAGCTGACCATTTAAGAGTTGTTTCGGTATCCGCGTCGAATCCATACGGCTCACATGACCGAGCCACCTCGTGTCTCAGCAAAAGTATACAGTCCACTACATACATTCCACTACGGCGCAACACTTCCGTGTCAGCAACTCTGTCGCCACAAGTGATGCGCAAAATTCGTCGCAAACACCGTTGATGAAACCGCTCGAGATATCTCACAGCTCACCGGTACATCATCCACGTTTCACTGCCGTATAGGAGAACGGACAGCACCATGGATTTGTACATCATCAGCTTCGTGCCAATGGTAAGCTGATGGTTGTTCCAAACTCGGTACTCAAGCTTCCCGAATGCAGCCGCTGCCCACGATACGCGGATACGCAGCTCACGGTGTATCTGCTGATCAGTCGACATCATACTCCCAAGGTAGCAGAAGCGGGAGGTTGTTTTCAATACTTCAGCACCAATGCTGATTCGCGGCAATATTGAAGATTGCAATTCCGGTGAAGGCCGAAAGAGACAGACAGTTTTGCTTGTGTTGATGGTGAGCTCGAATTTGGCCGCTGTCGGAGCCAGAGCACTAGTCATATGCTGAAACTCCTCCACGCTGTGCGCAAACAACGCACAGTCGTCAGCAGACAGCAACGTACAGATGGTTGTCTCACAGACTAGATTTCGCGCACCGAAACGACGAATGTTCAGCAACCCACCATCAATACGGTGCTCCACACGATCACCGTAAGCACAAGCCGCATCAAACGCACAAGCCATCAAAGCATAAAGATGATTTTTAAACTGAGCAGGAATTAAGACGAAGCCTTGCTTCACAGCAGAGACAACTGCAAAGTCATCTGTGATCTTTCCACTCAGCTGCAACCTCGCTCTCATACCACTGTGCAATCATTCAACTAAACCCACAAGGTTACGCGGGCAACCAAGCATACCCAATTCAGAAAAGCTATGCCACGATAACTCGTGCAATATTGGTTGCTTTCTTTGCCATTGTACAGTGGTACCACAAGGACATCCTTCAACTCAGCAGGCACCTCCTGCTCAATCCACCCTCATTACACCAAGTGATGCAGCGCAGTCACCAACGCCGGTCCGCAGTGTTTAAATACTTCAGGCGGGATCCGTAATACAATGTTCAACGCTCGTTCTTCGTCGTCCTTCGTTCGTTTCACCATGCGGTATCCTTTCAAGTCGACTGCTTCATCTGGCTTGATGCCTAATCGTTCTCTGAGATACTCATTCTCCAGGTTGGTCTCATTCACGGCCGTTTCCGCTTGACTTGCCACACGACAAAGTTCCTCCAGTTGTCGGTCTTTGGATTCCAGTTGGCTTTTGACGGCTCTCAATTCCCTGAGTGCTTCTGCCAGGCCGTATTCTCCGCACTCGAAGCGGTGCAAGCGTTGCTCCAAATTAGTAATCTCGACTTGTTGTTGCTGACATGTCTCTTCAGCCTAAACGGAAATAAGAGCGAAGTGTAAGGCGCTAGCTCATACATAAAAAATCAAGAGTAACAAGGGGATGACTAACTCCAACGGTGAATGGAATAGGCTCTTCCAATGAGGTGTAAGCAAAACACGCTTAATCTCGACACTTTTGCGTTGCCGAATCACTGGCGCTGCCCTTCGAACAGACCGACGACCGCTTCGATATCTTTCCCCGAGATTCGAGTAGCTGAGAGAAATTCCGATCAACGGTTTTGCGAATCATAGCTGCAGAATAAATAAAATGACCGCTGCTCAACAGTGACAGCAACACGCGCGACGAAGACGGAACTCATGACAGCAGCCGGTACCAACGAGAGAAAGGCTGACCTTTAACTAGAATATTTCTATTGACTCAGCTAAAAGCGAACACAGGGCACCACACACCGGAACTTGCAGTAAACCTAATTTTTCGTGGGGACACGAGTTCGGCCAGACAAAGGTGGGCCCTGAAACCCCGCTTTGTCGTGCTGTGGAGGCTACACGGACGCACGTTTGAGAAAGTGTTGGATCCCTTGGTGAGTACAGTTTGAGGAGTTACTGTGTAAAAAGTCTTTAACTTGGCTATCCACTCTCCTTGGAGGGTGTGCAAAAATCTGCTGATTAGTTAACGCCTGATATCGACTTTACTTACTTTTGAGCAGACAATTTTTGGTGCAGTTAACTGAGGGTTTTTGCATTAGCCCCTACGCCAGATACGCCTTCACGCGCCCGGAAAAGTGGTAGACATCCGGTTCGTCCTTTCGGGACTCAGCCCTGGACTCCATCAGGAACCGAAGTCATGACGGCACGCCTCTGTCTCCATGGCCTGGCGGCATAAGCTGTTTACTAGTGGCGCAAACCGCTAGTGTCGAACGACCGTGGGTTCAATTCCTGATGCAGCCGAATGCTGCGCACTAATGGTAAGACACTCGACTTGAAAGTCAATGACAACAGCCCTCGGATCATAGCTGGTTAACCACGTCTGGATGACCCACACGCGATTAAGAGCAAACCTACCTATACACATCAGTGAACTTGCTACGATGGGCTATGGACTAAACGATAGTTTATAAGCTGCTGTGATGAAATCTCAAGTAAGTACAACAAATCCATTTTTCATGAGTACATCAAAATATTTGCCTTAACTGCCTCCGATTGATAGGTTGTGCATAGCTACTGCCAGTGGACTTCGGGTGTTGCGGGGCCGACCGTGCCCACCGCAACGTTCCTAACTTGTATGGGAGTGAAGGAAAAGACGTGCTATAACACAGTTAGGTTGCAACTCATGACTGTCCAACACTGTCTCTCGTGGCTCAGTGGCATAAGCTGCTGGCTGACGATTTAAGCCGTTGGAGCTCATGTGTCCGGATCATGACTGGGCCGATGGATGTGCACTGCTGATGAGACCCAGCATGTCGATACTGCGGTCTAGTGCTTATCCCAGAATGTGGAGGATTATTTGATTTAGAAGCTACTGTCATGAAATCTAAATTAAGTACATCAAAAAGTCCCCAACTCGTGATTAAACTATATTTTAATGAAATTCCGTCGCAGTCTCCCCCTAGTCAGCAGGCTCTGACACGTCTGGAAAAGTACCAGGCAGCTGTTTCGAGCCTCTGGATCTCCTGTATAGTGCACATTCCCCGGACCCCTGCCGGGTTCTGACCTCATAACTTCCAGATGCCAGCAGGTTGTGCCACTAAGCCATGGGTGACGGCCGAAGACCTGCATGACTGACAGTTGAATACGATATAGCGTAGCTCATCCACCACTGCCAGACTAGTTACGAACTGTGCAGCGGACAGTGGTTAACCCCAGGAGCTACGACTTTCCGCATTGCGGCTATGTGCGACACAGCACTTAGAAGCCATACGGACGGAGGCTGGATTACTCATGAGTAGTGGGGATTTGGGCGTAATTTCAGAGGTAGTTCGTCGCAGTCCTACTCAGTCAACCACTGTCTTCAGCCCAGTTCGTAACTGACCTGGCAGTAGAGGATGAGCTCGCTATATAGTAGTTAACTGTCAGTCATGCAGGTCTTCGGCTGTCACCCATGGCTTAGTGGCACAAGCTGCTGGCATCCGGAAGTCCTGGGATCGGAACCCGGCAGAAGTCCGGGGAAGGCGCACTACTAACAAGACCCGGAGGTCGAAACAGTCGTCTGGTGCTTTCCCAGCCGTATCGGAGCCTGCTGACTTAGAGGGGATTGTGACGAACTACCTCTGAAAGTACACCCAAATCCCCACCACTCATTATTAAACGAGCTTTGCTCTAGCATTTTCCCGTTCGCAATTGAGGAGTTTGTTGACACATGTGAAGGTTTACATACTCACTATATGCCTTGAATCGCCTGTTTCATCAACTGCGTTACGGAAGCTCAAGGCTTGGAGCTACGTGTTGCTTTCGCCCTGCGAAATACTTCTTCACAATCCGGTAGGGGAGAACAACGAAAATGAACAGGAACGTAACAAATTGCGCCAAAAACTGTTGTGGGTGTAGAATTGAGCTAGTTAATGCAGTGAAGTACTGCGGGCGCAAGCGGTCAAATGCGATAGAAGTATGAAAATCCCTCGATTGTGTGTGCCAATACGCAATGAGCAAATTAAGCAGCAATCAAATTCGGTAAATAGACAGTTAGCGATGGTGGTCACATAAAGGAAAACTACGGCAGACTTCCGTAACAGATGACTGTAGGTGGCTAAACAAAATACCAAACTAACGCGTTAACTGCCACGCGATAGAGGAAAATGAAAGTTTACTGATACTAAATATTATGCAAAATGCTTCCGAAGTTACTATCTGCTCAACGGTGCGGAGAGGGTGATTGGAGCTGGCTAAGCGTATTGTCCATCTCAATCGGTTTACTACACTGGTGAGTCTCCGCAGATTTAAACCAACAAACGAAAGATCGCCAGGTTATGTGATAAACAGCTATATCACCTGTGAAAATTAGCTCCAGCAAAACATAACCTAAATTTTAGTGTTCTAAATACCCGAATTTTCCCGAAGCTGTCCGATTAAAACCCACCACAAATAATCCATCAGGACGTCCACTGAATATATGTGCTCCGACTTCACTTTGTAACCCTAGATCAGTGATTTGTCTTGGGAGAAATAAGTAGATGCTCGAAGCAGTAGTGGGTCCCTGGCATAATTTGAACCACCCAAATTGTTAGCGACTTGCTACTCAAGTGTCTACCGATAGCTTATCATTGCGTTCGTTGCTTGCTGATACCATGTCCGATGGACCCCAAAGTGACCATGTGACTGCAATGCAGGCGCATAGGCAAACCAAAAAGATGGACTGATTGCATTAGCATGGGCCTTCTTTCTTGCCAGGGAACAAGCGAGAGGCTACATCACTCATTGGAAATCCTTTGTGGCATAAGACCCTATATTAACGCGCTTTTGCTTCTACTTATTAGTCTTTCTATTAGGTACTCTCTACGACAGTCACATTTTGTTAGGACGGAGAAAATATTATTTCTCATGGGTGGCTGCTGCTGCTGCTGCAGTGTGAGTAAAGACCATTTCGTCGCGTGAATCGCGGTGCATCAAGGGAATCGAGTTGAAATCCGGTAGTGTGTGGCCCTTTAACGCGACGAGTGTGACTGCTGTTGGTAATTCGGATGTACGGAGCCAAGGAGGGATGAGTGGAGAGAAGGCCAATCAAACGCCTCCCCCCCCGCCTCCACCTCAGCTGACAGCAGCTGCATGGGCCGGCTGGACAAGGTAACGTTGAAACAATTAGATCCCTTTAGTAATTTGAATAATGCCGTAAGAAGACGAACACTGGCAGATGTCAACATTTCGTATTGTCTCTTCAGTGCCAACACAATAACATGAAAATATATAAGACGACAGATAGGGTGAGACCGGAACAAGTTAGAACAGGGTAGAGGGGCAGGCGTGACACCCCTACGCCCAGGGCAGCCGTAGGCTTACGAACAGCTGTTTCTGCACACAGAGTGCGGGTTTGATACGGCTGATCGCGACTGCATCTGCAAAACGTAGGAAACGGGCGTTAGCATGTCTTAACACGATTGCAAACATTTTGGCCGGATCAAACTGGTGACAGGTGGCCAGTAAATGCCTACCTATGGATGAAGCAGGTGGTTTACGTGAACAGATGGTATGAGCAACCGAGGACTGGGTGATTTGACGCTGCAACCATTTAGGTACATGTTCCCTTATTCTGGAATTCAACGATCGATTGGTACGGCCAATGTAGTGTATACCACAACTACAAGTAACTTGGTAAATGCAATGTGAGTTGGCGCCAATAGGTTGTCTTTCCGTCATTGGGGTAACAGGCATTCGATTCGTCCGGTTGATAAGGACAATTTCGGCAGCATAATAAGTCCTCTGGACTGCGGAAATTATGCGCTTCGTTGTCCTCATATTAGCGAAATCTCCCTTAAATGGTAGCTCGATGTAGATCCTCGATGTTGATCCGGTCTAGCATGAGGGTATCTCAGGGTGGTGCTGACAATAGCAATTGACCAAACGAGTTCAGTCTGACGACGACACGGGGTGCGATGGCAGATGGTCGATTGGGCGAACAGAATGACACTGAGCCACCGGATGGAATGCTAGTCAAGTGCCGCTCAAGCGAAGGGATCACATGTACTCGGGCAGGGTAGATAAAAGGGAAATGACGAGCTCTAACGTGGACTAAGATCGACGATGGATGAGGCAATGCAGGTAGTGGATAGACGTAGTGCGGCGAGTGAACAGCGTGCGCGGGCCACTGCACCCCTGCAAACTGCGTATGGCGAACAAAGAAACCGGTCATTAAAAGTTACGAAAATTAAATAGGAATTCAAATTTATGTACAGTATAGATGACCATACTGTTCCCAAGTAACAAATTTGATCCCGTTCAGGTGGAGGTTTGGCCCTCGAAGGGCAACATGTCAGAAGGCGGTGTATACAGAGACCCGGAGTTTGGTGGAGCTTAGGGTTATGAGACATGACCAGTGGAAACAA